TGTGTGTGTGTGTGTGTGTGTGTGTGTGTGTGTGGCGTGTGAGAGAGACACTGGACAATGATAGAAATGAGCAAGTGTGTTCTCATTTCCTCTCCGGGTTGTTGTATCATGCTGGGTCAGACCCAAACCCAGTTCCTGATCGTCACATTTCGCTAGCACCTCTTTCCTTGTGAGTCAGCAGGAATGTGAGGAATGACCTTTCCCACCCAGCACTCATCTGCCCTTTTTTAGGCATACCCGAGTCCAGCTTCTCTTTCCTTTTTGCTCTCTTTCACTTTGTCGTCCTTTCTCCCCGTTCACAGCTTTACTTTCCCCTCTTATTCTTCTCCTCCTTCCTCATGCCGCTTTCTGTCTGCTCAGCACTTTAAATTCTCACAAATTGCAGTACATAGGAGAGCCCCTCTGAGCTAGTGCAGCTCGGGCTGCATATTTTGTCAAACCACAGTGAGACCTCAAAACCACCGGCCCTCTCTTCATCTCTTGTGAGACAACCCCCCCGCCCCTCTTCCTCCTCCAGGCCCAGCAGCGGGGGGGAGGCACATTTACACATCAACCCCTTTCTCAGCCCACCAGGGTGCAAGGCTTAGCTTAACAACCACATCCAGCTCCCTCTGGTAGAAGCCAGTTGGCATACAAAGGTCTGTGTCTTTACTCTGCGGGCTTTAACTGGTGCAGCAGGAAGTGTGTGTTTGTGCGTGACGTGTATCAGGAAAGCCTGCCAGAGGAGCAGGAGCTGCTCATCTCTGCACGTGTTGACAGGTATCCCGCTGTTGAGATCTGTCTCTCATTTGACAGGAGAGGGCTCCCTCTACCCTCCCAGGCTCACGGCTGTCGCTGACATGAAAGCATCGATGGCCCTGACTGGTGTGTCTGTCTGCAGGCGTGTCTTACCACCTTAATTACTCCTCTTTTGCTTGGAAAAAACAAACCTTTCGAACTAATAGCCGCTCAGAGCGATGAAATGGCTCAGTGAGTGTTTTTAAGTGAGCCACTTCAACATCCGAGACTCTGGGGCCTCCTGCAGCCTGGCTACTGTTCAACCGAGATAAATTACAGCCTGAGAAGAAGACACCTGGTCGATGAGCCGAACGCACTTCTTCCTCATAGCCCGGCGCCAGCTGTTGCCGAGCCTGTTTCTCATCTTCTGCGGCTCGCTCACGAGGCTCTGTCTCTTCACATTAGTGGAGGCGGGTCACTTGTCATCACCAATCAATCGGCCGTTCATCGGCCCTGCTGACCCTGTAACTCCCTACCACACATTTAAAACCAAGCCAGGGCCGCTTAGACTCATGCTGTCTGGATGTTCCCACACCTGACTGATACTTACTGGATGTTTGTTACCCGTCACCTGTGACTCTGGTTAGGCTGCCGTCAATAGCGAAGACTAATAGTGTGCAGCCATGCTAGCGCCTCTACGAGGCTGAGCAGCTTTAAACTCACATCAGCACACTGACATGCTCACAATTTCATGGCAATCCGTCCGGTAGTTGTTATATTTCAGTCAACCACCAGACCAACATTTCTACACTTAGGGCCAAGCTGCTACCACAGCTGACAATCCCAAAACCTTTTAGAGTACTCCGACTGGACATCTGTGTGTTAGCGCTACACTGGCTCACAGTCGGCTCCCTCTTGTAAACAAATACGTTATTGTCCTTGTTTGACAGCGTTTATTACAGAGAGCTAGAGACGGACAGAAGTTTGATCTACGACTGTGAGCCTACAGTTCTGCTTATTCGCCGCCCTGTACTTACTCTGACAACAAGCCTGCCTTGTGCTGCTGAAGCACTGGATCCTTGTATGACTGTGTGGCCGTGTCCTGACCATGCTTCTGTGGTGTGTAGGCTACTCGCTCATAGATGGCGATGTAAGAACGACAAGTGTCTAATCTTTGCAACCCAAATATTTGGCGTCCTGCTGTGTTAGCACACGTTCCACACTTGTCTTCATGCCCTCTTTGTGTTTGTCTTTTCATGTTGCACATGCAGCTGGATGGAACTGTGGATCTGGACGAGAGGCGCCTCATCCGTTCAGCCATCCGGGAGTTGAGGAGCAGAGAGATCGAGGACATGGAGGCCGCTCTGGCCAGCAAGAGATTTCGGCCCACACGCCTCAAACAGCAGGAGGACAAGGAGAACCAGCACAGGTAAGATCACGCACACACACACACATGCACACAGAGAGCACAGTCCTAATGACAAGCTACACCAGTCCAGGTGAACCGGGAATGCTGAGAAAACACTCACAAAACCCAGATGGAGCGTTCCTCAACTCCAGTGGGAAAAGAGAAATGTCTGGAAAAGTCAATTCAGGAAATCATAGGGGACAGAAGCAACTGCAACCACAGTACATTTTCCATTTTCCATTGTGTATGCACATTTCACAGTAAGTACTTTCACATAAAAAAATGTGTCCTTCTGTCACATTACCCCGCGTGAGAGTCAAATTGATGTAGTTCTCCTCAGCTCATTTGTTTGTCCTTATTAGTTTAGAGCCTTCTCAGTGTTTCTCCACTTCAGTAACACACCATTCCCAGCTCGTGTCATTCAGCCGAGGAATGTGGACAAACTGAAAACTCAGCTCTAAAGACACCTTTGCCATCTTGTCAATAAATACTCTTTTTGCTTTCAAACTGAATGGGAAACGAGACAAACGGGCTTAAATATTGAAGAAGATCATCTTGGTGTGACTGTAAACATTGTGGCCTATAAGTCTTCATCAAACCTCACTTTTATTAATAATATTAAAATATTTTAGTGGTGATTTGTGTCATTTGAGGAATCAATGCAGGTTTTTTCCGACAAACTTCATAAAAATCATGCAAAAAAAAAATCATATAAAATCAAATAGTGTGGAAATTTGAAGCTTTAACGGTCTGAACGTTTTTCTCATTGTGGATGAGATGAGCTCTGCAGGTCAGGATGCACTAAGTCTTGTAACAGGTGTTAATGAATGACTGGACTGGAGCACAACAAAAGATTTAACACGATTGGATGTGAAGAGGATGCTCAACCTTCTGCTGTCGTTCTCTGTCACTGAATCCTATTAAGACCGGCGGCCGGTCCTAATCATTTCCACTCACTGCTGCTCTCAGAAGACTTGGATTACAATAATAAAGCCTCAGTGAAGCGGCTAGAGAAAGCATTACCTACTGTAGCGCACATGTTAAGACACACACACACACACATAAAAAACACATATGAAAGTTGCAATTATCCCGCGCCTCTCAGTGGTGGAATGTGAAATATTCCACACATCCTTTAATACCACCGACTGGAGGGAAGCGCAGATAATGGGAGACCTGGAGGAGGGTATGAGTAATAGAAACCAGCATAAAAGTGAGCAGTGAAATGGAGAAATATGCGGCTGACATGAGGGGAGGATGGGAGCAGCCTTTTTTAGGCGCTGTGTGTCATTGCTGTCCGATCTGTTATGCCAGAGTATCACTTTTTCCAAGCTCGACTTGGGAGCGTTTCCTCTGATGGGTTTTCTCCCAGCCAAGAAAACTGTGGGTTATCATGGAGTTGTCTTCTGAGAGGCCTCAAAATAGAGTCAGTGAAGCCCACAATTTTGTATTTGTATATTTTGAGTCTCTCGCTCTCTCTCTCTCAGGTCTGAATACAATGACAACTTGGACGTCCTGTCACGAGAACTGCAATCAATCCAGGACATCGATGAGCTCACGAAAATGGTGAGTATATTAACGGGCAAGAAAAAAAAAATGATGGTGACTCTGCATGCTTGTCCTGTTCGAACTGAGATTTTGTGTGTTTGTGTAAAGCTCCGTGCCGCCGGCGAGTACGAGGAGAGGAAGATGATCAGAGCAGCCATCCGACAAGTCCGAGATGAACAGCAGCAGCAAGGTGAGTCCTGCTGTTTGGTAACATGTCGTCATGCTGTGTCTGTATGTCTGTTAAATATAATACCACGTGAAAGATGCATCTTTTATCGGAGTAGATTAAACGACGCCAGCTGTGTGATTGTAACAAAACATTTAAGGATGATGCATTTGGCCGCTGTGTTCTGGCACACTTGGTGTGAAGATGGTGCCGTAAAGATCTAGTTGAAGGTAAAAGGGAATTTAAAGCTCCACAATTGTCTAATCCATCAGTCCTTAGGGGGTATTTATTTTTAATTTTATTAGAACACCGTCAGCCAAAATGAAAAAAACAAATGATGATGTGATAGTCTGCTTCAGTCTTGATGTAAATGCATAATTAAAGTGGGAGAGATGGCAGGCTGTCTGTGTTCGCCATAGTTACTGTGGCAGATGTACCCATGATGCTCGATCAGATAGTGGATTCCTGTCATTCCTTAGCGCTGTTTGGCTTGTGTGAGGCCCCTGTCACTGAAACACGATGAATGGGGCCACGTCAGGACACCTCAGATAATCTTGTCTGATCTCTTCTCATAATTTCAGAAATGACCAGATGTTTGACATCAGATGGGATAACGAGTCACCTACTTTATTCTAACTATTGTGCCGTGTTTTTAGGGACTGTGGAGCGGGGTAAAGCTCCGGGTCGCTGCCTTGAACCTGAGAGTGTGGAGCCCCAGAGCAGCATGGGAACTGAGGTGAGTACAGAAGAGTTAATAGAGCAATCTTTATGGATTTCACGTCACTGCATGAACGCCACATGAACAGCTGATGGGTAACTGTCTCTACTCTAATACTCACTCCTGTCAGCTTCCATTTGCAAAAATGAACCGAGCACGGACTCATTTGTGGTTGCTGAGTTCGTTTGCGTGGCAGCAGTGACCACTGAGGTTTCTCTGCTGCCGCAATGAAGAATGCAGAAAACAACAAGAAGGGTTGTGGCTGTAGTCACACACTGTGATGAACGTGGCTGCACAGACACGCACACACAGACACGCACACAAAACGCATGCTTTGGTTGCCTCGGAGCAAAGAATGCGCTATTGTTTTCTACATCCTCAGTCAGACTTTGTTATGAGTAAGTATGAGGAGAAAGATAGAATTTCGGTCTCGCAGTCGCTGTCATTTGGCCCCACATCTATCTGTACAGCGTTTAACACCGTGAGACAACAAAGCACACTGACGTAGACATTTTAGAGTGAGGGAGGTCTAAAACTCAGACGTCTCTCTCAGCCCTCTGGTGGATGACAACGGACTGTGTCCTCCGAGTTGACCTTAACGTTTTATCATTTTCAGCGTTGTTATCAACATCGTGGTTGCTGAAGCCAACATGATGAGAAGACATGAGGCTTAACTGCTTGCGAGAGTCTGCCAGGAGCCAGATGTTATCTCATCTGCTGTGTGATCACAGTTCTTTCGATGAACGCTCTGTTTCCAGAGGATTAGATGTCTGTGGAGGAAAAGCAAAGTTACTTCTTACAGTATGTGGTCACCGTTGCTTTGACTCAAGCTTTTTGAGTGATGGAGGAACACCTGATACAATCGGTTGCATTATCAGAGTTCTGTCGGTTCCTGTGAAAGCAGCCGTTTTTCCCGCCACAGTGACGTAAAGGGAGAAAAATGAAAGGCTGTTAGTATTTGTCCCATTGTCTGTTGTAGCTCGTGCTTTGTGTGTGTGCGTGTGGGGACAGGACACAATGACAGCATGCTGGCGTCACAGGATGCTCTGACATTCAAGCCTTTTTACCTCACTTCCTGTAAGATAGCTGAGCTGTACGGCTAGTTGGTGTAATAGGTCGGGGGGGGGGGTTGGAGATCTGGATGACGAGGAGAACGGGCGGGGGTGGTTCGGACAGACAGGCAGGCAGCCCACCAGCTGTGCCTCAGCAGCCCAGTCTGCGCTGGAATGGGGTCGAGGCCAAAAACAACATCAACCAGCAGCAGCAGGGCTCCTTCCACTCACATAGCAGCGGATCTCTTTGAGCTGCGTGCAATTGTCCCGTGGCAGCTGGAGGTCATAGATAGGCCTCAACAGCAGCCAAACACGCACACAATAAATGTGTACACTTCCAGCAGCTTCAAACAAACACCAGCTCAAAGTAACAACACCTTGTGATGGAAAATATATAGCGTATGCTTGATTAGTGGATCAACGTAGCTGTAATTTTACCAGAATCCATCATCCATTAGAAGGTAATGACTGTATTGAATGGCCACGTTTTAATGCCACGCAAGGATAGCCAACGTACAGTAAGAGTTTCCTTTTTTTTTATGAGAAACCATATTGTAACCGCTTACAAAAACAAACAGATGATATGTATGCAGCCCCCAAAAAATTGCCAGAAGGAAAAAGTGCAAAACATTCAATAATTTAAATGAGGTTCTGTGACGGTAAACTATCTCATCTAGTCTTACTGCAGCAGTTGGAGGAATTATAGGTCAAAACTAAGAGTGTGTCAGAAGTTAATGTGTCAACCAGGCAACCCTTTAACCTGTAAGAAAAGTGTGTGTGTGTGGGGGGGGGGGGTCAGATCCCTTTGGAGACAGAATGGGAAGGAGGGGAAGTCAAGGGAGTGGCTTGTTGGTATTATGTGTGTATGTGTGTGGTGTTGGTGGTGGTGGTGTGTGAGAGTGTGTGTGATGTGATGTGGCTGAGGGAGTAGAGCGACAGAATAGAGGACGTCCTGACTCCAAGAGGTTTGCTGCTGAGAGAGAGAGAGAGAGAGAGAGAGAGAGAGAGAGAGAGAGAGAGAG